CATCGACCAGCTGGTAAATGCCGTGCAATCCTTGCCAAATCTGCAGCTGTAAAGGCTTGTGCTGCCGTCCGTGTGAGTTGTTGGTAAGATACTGACTTGACCAAATACCAACCCAATCTAGCGAATCAGCATGCCATAGTCAGCAAAAGCAACAAGCACACACACAAGAAACCGGTGTCGACAAAAGGCATCTATTCTCCTGACTATGGTTGTGAAAAGTAAGCCTAAGATTCGCTTGTGCCAATGTAGGCCATGCCCACGAACTGCTTCTCACGTTGAAAGTGGATTGCCCGTGGGTATCGCAGGACATGATTTCCATCGCAAAACATTCCCCCAACTGCACTCCTCCCAGAGTTGCTGAGGCTGGCACAAGTAGGTGGTAAGCCATTCTGTCTTGAGGTTGGCCTTCCTTACGGCAGGCTGATTGGGTGTGCCTTGCCTCGGGCCTGGGAAGCACGTCACAAAAGGCGACGTAAGCCTGGACAAGAAGGACGTTTTGCGGATCTCATTCTCATCTCTCTGCAAGAACCATGCCCACAACTGGCCGTCAAGTGACTCCCATTCTCGTTGTATTGCACTTGGCATGCCGTTGCGGCAGCCAAGAATCCAAATGATCAAGCATCCAACGACCAAAGCAACTACGGCACAAGATATATGTCTGGCTTGTGCAAGAGTGGATTTATGTTGCTTTGTCTGCGCCAACCAATCGAGATACCATTTGCCCTCCAGCTTCACTTTCAGCTTCTACGAGTCATGGTCTTCGCTTTCAATCAAATGACACTTATCCGAGGGCTCCCCATACACCGCTGGGATAGGATAACCCTTGTGTATCGAGGCCCTGTCCTATAGGTACTGTAGGGATACGAGGGCAGGGGTACGCAGTTGAGCCCTCAATTTGGCACCAAGCCAACAATCTTGGCAACCATGGTATGCTAGCCACGGAACATGCCAAGCAAAAGAAACAACAAACAAAACAGCACGCCTGCCGCGCACTCTCGTGAGTCTTGCACAACATGTTGCAAGCTTGTGGCGTGGTGATTCATGGCATCTGTCTATAATAAGGTGACATGCCTTCTCCGCCAAAAAAGTCTGCACTAATTGCAGACAGGAAGTATTTCAAAACATATGCACAAGGAATCATTATCACGGCAAAGCACGCTCTCCCCACTCCAGGCAAGCCTGCCATGATTTGTGCAGTCGTGATTGATCCACACATCGCATTGTGGGGCAAACAATGGCTTGAACACAATGGGATAAACACGTTAATGGCGGCCGGCAGAACAGTACAACACGGTGCATTGACACTGACCCTCAACATCCTCCATCGATCCTTGCTTCTCCACCTCGACCAAAATCAAACTGATACGCCGCAGCAAGGAATGCAGCAGCAAACGCATGTTGTTCTTTCTTTGTGTTCATCATGATGTGCTCGCCACATTTCGCCAGCCAGACAGAGGAGGCAATGTTGACTTCACGCAAACCAACATCATCGTCGAAGCTGCTCAGACAACAAACCAACACAAGGTAAACATCCGCGGTGTACATGTGGCCGTGGCTCAAAAAACCGGTACCAAAATGGAACCCTGGTAATTAAGTCCAAACCAAGGACAAAACCTGCGGTTTGCCCCTCCTGTTTAATTTTGAGCCACACCCATGTTTATTCCCAGCCAGCCCCCCACAGGACCAACAATCCTCCTGCCCAGTGCTTGCAAGCGGCGTCGCTTCCCAGGCATCGCCCTGTAGCAAGCCAACGCCTTGGGAGCTCTGGACAAATTGGGGCGCAGTTGATCAGCTCACCAAGTCCAACAAAAAAAGCCCCGGCAGCGATAAAAACACAAAATGCGTGTTTTGTGTGGCACGGCCACGGCAACCTAACAACAAACTGTTTTTGTGCGTGGCACACAAAATTAAATCATGCGCTGAAGGAAGCACGGCAAAGGCCTACGTGGGCATTGCCCATCTTGTCACGTGAGCGAGCTGTTCTTGGCTTCAAATCGATGCGGACGGCGAATCAATCCCATGCTAGGGGAATGGGCCACAGTCAGCAAATCTCAGCCGTGCACTCAGGAAATAGGTGGGGATGTAGATGCTGCCACAGTGCGCATTGTCCACCTGAGCCGGTCAAAATGAGTCATAATCAAAACCCGGTACAAAAATGGTCGTCCCAGAACCATGTAAAGAATTGGGAGGGCGGATATCCGCAGCTACTTATGGCTGGGATTGTCCCTTACTACCCTCCAACTACCTGAGTTTTGATTGTGGCTCAAATGGCATTACTTATGCCTGCCAAAGGAATGCCCATGGCGCTGTACTGCTATGTTCAACGAGTGAATCAAATCCTGATGGACCAACAAATCTCACAAATGCAGCCTCAACCAACGCATCAAAACACTTATCCAATTCCCCATGTGAACAAAATCGGTAAAAAAGGGACGACCTTAACAGTTGCCTGTATAACCCTTTGAAGTTTTCTCTAGAGCAAATCAATCATAGATGAGGCTATTAAGCAGTCAGCACCCGCAACTGCAATAAGTTTCAGAATCGTGGTCGTGGCCATTCGCCCTGCAGATCAGTTTTCAGATGGTCATGCAGTCGCGCACTGATCAACATGCATCCAAGTCCTAGAATACCATGGCTAAGTTAAATTGATCTTGTCGTGTACCGTTGGGGGTATGCCGACAAGCCCGGCATACCACTAGGGTTGTACCTCAACCAGCTCCCCAGACCACAAGATCAGGAAATGAACAAAGATGGCTCGAAACCTTGAAGGGTGCATGGCCAGGGGGTGCATCACATAGGGGTAGGGACCGACAGAACGAGACACTCGCAGGGGGTGTCTCTTGACCTTGTTTTGGCAGAACAAAGGGACTCCCTGAAGTGTAGCTCTTTGAAAGGATTCCTTCATCCAAAACGGACGGACTTGGGGATGTGAGAGACAATGTCAATGTGGTCTAGTCAACCATTCTCCTCATGCCGCGACTTTATCCGAGCTCCTCTTTGCATGAAGGGATGCGGCCAACATGACTCAACAGTTACTCTTCACTACGCCCTTGCCAAGCAGGCCTCCTTTCTTCCAACGCAACGTGCATTCGCGCTAAGCATGCCGCGAGAAATTTATTCAAGACCCATTTTCAGGGTAGGGGGCGACGTCGCAACGCGCAGCACTGATAGTTTGTCCCGAGAAACAAACCCATGGGACATCGCAAAACAGTTCGTGGGATGTCCTGGGCCTACGAAGGTCCATGGGAAGCAACATTGCAATTTCATGCTCGGGCCACCTTCAATCATGGAGCCAAGCCCCACAAACAACATGAAACCCTTTGTTGTTGTGTTGAGTTGCTGATTACGCTTGATTGTTGTGCAAAAGAAAAAACACTAAGCCAGGACCTCCAAACTGATGAGTGCTCGCTGCAATAGGAGACCCCCGAAATAGGTGTCCTTTGGATTTCCCTTTGGTCGTCCCGCAGCAAATTAAACAGTGGACCCTCAGTCCAGCAGCCCAAAAACAGGTCCCCGATTTCAGGTGAAGCGAGGGTCAACCGTCCTTGCCGCGTTGCCCATGCACAGGCGAAGCAGTGTTGCAGGGACTGCGTGTTCTGAAGCGGCCTCAGGCAGGAACAATAGCTAGCCCTTCTTGGCTAATGAAACCGAGAAATTATCCGGCTCGTGGCCGGGAAAAGATGAAAGGACAGGGACATGGGAAAGCAGCATAAAGCTCTTGAACAAAAACGGTTCGATCCGCAAAAGGATGTTGCTATGGCCATCTATGGCCTTTGTTTGTTCCATGTAAGTTGGCAAATATTCACCAGCGTACGATGTGCAGTTTGAATGCCATTGCTTGTGTGACCAAACCTTAAGCCGCATCACTTTGGAGGGCGTGGTCAAATACCCCACCAAACATGCCAGTGAAGGATTCCGAAGACCCGGCCAGCTTATTATCTTAAGACTCCATGAATATTCCTTCGCCCGTGTGCTTGCTTTTTAGTGACTTCTCGACAGCTTGGCCGAGGTACACTCTCATTGCTCGTGGCAGCAAGGCAGAAACTCTGAGAACCACGGGTGAGTACAACTGGTAGAGAAAGTGGAGGAAGCCGCCAATGTAGGCCTCAAACATGCCAGAGTCGAACTGCCCACTTTTACCAATAAATATACTGACTTAAATTCGGCAGGTCTCCCAGTATCGCAGGGTTGACAAATTGCAATAACCAATAACTTCCCGTAACCCTGGCCTGAATTGTGTGAATCACCAAGATATTCTGACAGCGAGCCACAGCCTCCCTCTCTAAGCCTGGGTTTGCAAGCAACAATTGTTTGCAGCCCACTTTCAATCAACAAGGCACATGAGTCATAATCAAAACCCGGTACTAAAACGGTCGACCCAGAACCATGTAAAGAATTAAGAAGGCGGCCGCAGCAATTTGTGGTTGGGATTGTCCCTTCATCTACCCGGGTTTTGATTGTGGCTCATGTGCACTGCAACTTTGCCACTCTTCAGCAGAGTGTCTCCGCTAAAGAAGGTGAGCGCTGCAAGACGCCTCGCATCGAAGGTGTCTTCCGATCGCGTCCTTGGCATTCCAGTGCTAGAAAGCCAGCAGTCAATGAATCCCACCCACAAAGACTTCCCTGTTGTTTTCCCCAAATTGACGGGGGGATGAGGATGTTCTATGACCATAATATTTCAAAACAACAAAAAAGGCCCACTTTTTCTGAGCGACCCTCTGCGACAACCCAATGGCCAGCCCTCTGCCAAGATGCCATGTCTCGGCCAGATCCTACCAAGGCTCAGTGACTCAGTGGAGCCTACACGCCTTGTGACTGGGCTTGCACCGGCTTCATGTGGCAGGGGGTGATTCTCAAATTGCTTCTGCACGTGGGTTCGAGCAATGGTTCCAGGCTGCGCAACATTCAATTCGTCTTCCGCAGCTAGTTGAAAGGAGAAGGAAGGCGCGTGCACACGGACTCATCAGTACAATTGGCGGAGCTCTGGCGCAGGTCTTTTTCCCCTCTGCTTACACCTGGTGCCGGGGCAAGGCTCCTGCTTGTCTGGCGCACCACGGGTGACATGTGGCGTTCTTGTTTTTTCCTTTTTTTCGGAAACCGCGTCAGGTCACCAGCGGAGAGCTGCAGTCCCAGTTCTCCGGGCAGCTCCGCAGGCACTGGGCGTAGAAGTGATTCTGCGCATAGCACTGCACCGAATGCCCGGAGCAGCGCCGTTGCCTCGTGCAGTCGCCGTAAAGCCCCGGCAGCTGCGCCTGGGAAGCAGTCGCTTGAAAGCGCATGAGCGCCTCCCCCGCCAGTTCTGCCGCCTCCTTCTCTGGAAGGTTCGGAAGGCAGGCAGCCATCGCGCCCTGAAGGGCTGTCAGCGCCAGGGCATCGGAGTTCCCCAAGGAGAGGAGACCAGAGTCCCAAAGCGTGTGCACTGTTTGGCGCAGCACCGACTTCTGGCAGCTTTGCTGGCATGGCCGGGCATCATGCTCCAGCAGATGCCAGCTCCTGCGCCTTGCCTCCTCAAGCGCGGACTGCACCGAGCTCTCCATCCGCTCGACGAAGGACTGCCGGCTCTCATCAGCATGCGTCAGGCAGGGCTCAATGTCGCTCTGTAAGGAGCGTGAAGGGGCGAAGCCAGATTTCGAAGCCATGTCTGGGTGGGTCCTCCTCAACTCCAGCCCCACATAAGTCGCCACCTTCTCAATGACGCTATCCACGTTGAGCGTGCGGAAGCCGGGGTAGCACGCACGCATCGCGGACTCCAGCGCCTTGGCAAAGGCGCCTCGCCCTGCGGATGTTAGCAGCTCCCCAACGGCCCAGAGCGTTTTCAGGCTCACGCCTCAGTTGTTCAGTTACCCTGGAAAAAAAGGGAGCCCTTTTGTGGGAAGGCCATTTTTAGTGGGGCAGCCACCAAAAAAGCAAGGGAAAAAGAATTGGTGCCACTGAACAACTGAGACTCCGATGACCTTTACCATGCAGCCCCTCTGACAGCTGCTGCGCTTCTCCATCCACATCCGCAGCTGCGGATCCTCCAGCTGCGCGCGGCGCCAGGCGACGTCCAGCGCATGGCCCAGCAAACGCATCATCTGCGCCTCGTTGAGGCCGTGCTGCACTGTGACCGGCTCCGCGCAGGGCGCCAAGGCCGCCGTGGCGGTGGTGAACCGGGACCACTTCACGATCTGCCCGTGCTGGTTCACGCCGAACTGCTCCTGCTGGGTCTTGGAGAAGCTCGTCAGATTGTAAGAACCCATATCGATGCTGGGCCCCTGAGGGGTCACGCCGGCAAGGATCCACCAGGGAGTGTGGACCAAGTCCACAGTGGGGATCCCTGAATCAGCGGCATCTCCCAGGCAGGCCAGCCAGAAAAGCAAACAAAACCGCATTTCTTCTTGAGCCGCACAGGCTTGAGGCGAGCAGCGATGTTGTTTGGCCAGTGAGGGCAGTAAACAAGTTTTGTGCAAGTGTTCAGCTTTTGGTGCTCTGTTGAAAAGCTGCGAAGCACACAAAAGGTTGCAATGTGAAGTTGCCATGACCTGATTGCACAATCCCCGTCTGCTCACTGATCGTGAATCTTCCCCAAGCTTTAAAGCAACCCCCTCCAAATCGGAGGGGCAATGGGTCATTCTGCCAGCTCCTGCCCGAATCCTGTGCTTTGACGGAGCTACCATAGACGTTGAACACCCAGCGACTTCAAACATGGCAATACCTTCCAAAGCGTTTTACTGGATAGAAACTACATCTGTCTATAATATATAGCAATGCAATGGGATGCCATGGAACAAGTATCGAACCCTGCTCACTGAGCTCTTTTTTTTCCCAGGAAACGAGACAGGTCTTGTTTGCCTCGCGGCTGCTGAAACTGCGCAAACAGATTTGGCTCGCTGCCACCATGCACAAATCCATGGTTCCCAAGGGGCATGGACAAATTCGGCGGGTCCTGTGTCTGTGTTGGGCGCAGACCCCACATGTCCTCCCCCAAAGTCACAAAGGATCATCTATTCTGCTGCGAGCGGCTCATTCAGGTTGCACGCAACAATGGAAGCCCCAGCAATCAGGCAATACCCAGCCACCCCACCGTGCCATCCCGTTCATCCCTTCACGTCTCCTTGGGAAGTGGCCTTCCTTCAACAAACAGCTGGCAAACGATGTCGCCCACAAAGCCCAGCGCCGACCTTAGGGTCAAAGCTCAAGGAACCCAGAGGTGTGTGCCACAGTCGACCCCCAACCCCCGACACAACAACGCACAAATGGTTGCATACTCATGTCCGGAACACTCCTTAAGAACCAAACGAATAAAATAGGAAGCTCGGAGTTGCGGAAACAACACAGAATGTCAAAACAATTTTATTGTCCGGGCGCTCGTAAAGCCGTTGGTTGGAAGTGCATGACCTGCCCAAACCACAAAAAAATGACTGACCCGTGGATGAGACGAGCTGCGGGCAGGGGGCTGGAACAGACCGGGACTGGAGCAGGGGTTGCATGTGGGTGTGAGATACTTTTTTTGGGGGGTTCTTTTGACAGTGTGACAGGAAACAGTGGCTGTGGCCGACACTTCAAACCGTACCTGAAGAGTTTAATGTGTGGCTTCTAAACATGACATGTTTTTTGCAGATGCCATTGCTCAGGGCGCAATCAAGCATTATCGAATATATCTATGTGGCCTGAAGTCCCATTCGCTAAGTGAAGCATTTGTTGTCGAGAAGCCTGTGAATTGGCCGCCAAGCCTTGCATCTTCAACCCCTTCTGCACAGCCCCCAAAACCAGGCCAGGCAAATTGCCATGTCACTCTACCAATCAGTCAACTGCTCCTTTCCCCATGATGACGAGCCAAACTAGCTCCCTGGACCCCCGTAAATAGAGATAAGCAGATATAGGGGAAGAATTCCCTTGCCTAGTCTGTCAGTCATCCCACGTATACTCCCCAGCATGGTCCCCAAAGCGCGCCCTTCCCACGCCCCTGCTCAATTCTACTTCCTGACTCTTGCACTTTGGGTGCTTGGACAACAAAAAGAAACCACATCAAAAAGCATTGACTTGTGAGGAGGCCTGGACAGCCTGAACAGCCTTGCTTTGATTCCGAACGCCTATTTTTTGATCGAGGAGCGCGCTGGCCAAATCGCCACGCAGGCGCTTGGGATTGAAGACCAGTCGCGCAAACATGGCCAGGGGATGACCTACGCAAGTGCTCCGAGGGTGTCTGCTGCAAAGGAACAAAATGGTGATTCAACTGCAATAGGCGCAATAGGCTTACGCGCACTTTCTGAACCCAGCAATACTATCACTACAAAGCAAACAACAACTGGCCGTCATAGTTTTCAATATTAATGGGTGTCCACATCCTGAATGCTGGCCGCTTGCTTGCGTAGCATGCATCATGATTGTCGTCCCAGGTCTGCTGCTCCAAACAATCACTCAATTGGAGCTAAACTCGATGCGCTTATGTCTCATGTACTCGGCATCTTGAGCCAGCTTCGTTCTTTCCAGCCAAGCTCAATCGAAGTTATGGTGAAGGGTGGCCAAAGCTCATACCGGCAAACAAACAAACAAACAAACAAACAACCAACCAACCCAACAAACACAACAACCAAACAACCTAGCAACCAAGCAAACAGGCAACCACTCAACCAACCACCCAACCAACCAACCACCCAATGAAACAAACACAAAAACAAACAATCAAACACACAGATAGACTACAAATAAAGAAGCAAAACAAACACGACAAAACAACACAGAATAATACAAACAAAGAAAACTCCAACTCTGCAGAGCTCAGAGCGCACGCATGTCGTGCGCTCCAGGCCGCCCCGGGGCGAGCGTCTCTGTCACATGCGGTCACGGCAGGAAACAAAGCCCTCACGCGGAGTGCCCAGGTGCAAATCTCACAGCATCAGCCAAACATGTTCAATTCAAGTCTGGTTCATATTCATGAAGAGTGTCCTTTGAACCATTGTCGTCCCGTGACTGTTTTTGTGTCCGAGCTCCTTGAGCACTGGGACGATCTTCAGTGCAAACCGGTTCTGAGCTGCACCAAGCCGTTCAAGCTGCAAGAAAAACAACTCGAACTACCAATGGTTCCACCATTCTGGAAGTGAAGAGAAGCGTCTCAATTTCTAGCAAGATCCAAGCAAGGCTCTTGCCATTTGCACAAAAGTTTCAAGGACAATGACAGAACGTTGAGCAATGCAACAATGTATCCCAAGGAGACAGAATCCCCCCCAATGTCACATTGGCATGCACGTATCCTCAGGTAGTTATACAAACACATCGCTTTGAATACTGAGTTGCCGGGTTGCGTTTTGACCCCGAAACAAAGCTATCAAAGTTTAAACGTCCAACAAAACGCAGTCAAGATTGCTGGAAGACCGACTGCACATAGCCCCTCCTTCTATTTTACCTGCAAAGGCTGCATTTCCTTCTGCCAAGGTGTCCAAATCCACTGGAGGTCTATCAATCGAACAAATGGAAGCAGAATGTTGACCGCGTTTGGCTTTGCATTCAGCATACAGAATATGGCTGCTTCCTGAAATAGGGGCCGGGGCCCCTCGAACTGCTGGTTGTCTTTTCAATTTTTTGGCCTCCCTTTGAACAGAAGCCAATTGAAGGACTCGCCACATATGTCAACTCAACTAGCAACTTGGAGGCCAAAGAAGCCTTCTACGGCCAGGTGTTTTGGCGGGGGGGCGGGGCGGTGGGGGGCGTGAGCATTTTGTGAGTGGAAGCAATCAATTTTGCCCCATGGAGTGCAGAGAGGTTTGCCACATCTTGGGATTGCTTGTGGCCAAGCCAGCTCAAACTTCTATTTGCAGAGCCTCTGTCAAAAAGCAAATCTGCTTGGCCCACAACTCATTTGGCACCTCCGGGCAATCACACGTCAGGACAGGGTCGGACGGTGGTCGGATCGTCTGCACTGAGAATCGAGACTGTACCATCATGACTCATGCAAATAAACTATAGTGCGTCCCGAACAGTGGTTGGAGAAAAACATGGGGAGGAGCCAACGAGGCAAAGGAATTTTGCCGGTATCAAGGCAAGGCATTTCCATTGCAACTGCATGGCGCGGACTGTTGGTGGCCCCCACGTTTGAAGTGGTCATTGGTATGTGAGTTTGGGTCCAGGGATCAGGTGGCTCTCCCCAGTTTCCTCCTCCGGGAGACAGCCAACATTTTCATATTCTACACAACGAGCTCCAAACACATTGATCAAGTAGGTTCGCGGGATGTTGCAATCTAGAATGGCAGCCGCAACTCGTATCAAAGACGGGAATTAGAGATTGAATTGCAGTCGCAAACTGACAATGAACTTGCAACCATCATTGTGTGTGCTTTGCAGAAGCCTGGGGTCCAGGGCTTGGACCAGAGATCTAGGGGGAGCACATTCATGAATTGCCCTTATCAAGAGGTACATCTCTAGGTCCACGATGTTTCAACTGCAGGTGCCATCAAATTTGCCAGAAGGACCGCCACTTTGTGTGTGGGAGTACTGCAATCATATTTCGCTGCAGGCCCACAAAGCAAGCTTCCAACATCTTCCGACCAGACGAACAGCCTTCACCCGACTGGAAAAGCCGATTCCTGCCAGTCTCTGCACGGCAAGCTGAAACAAGCGCGTCAATGCATGGAACAGTCCATGCAACAGCCTTGATGGGACAACTGCCTTGGTGCAACATTGCTCAAATCATATCTGCTGATACGAGTCCCATAGGCCCTATTTCACCGGCAAAACAAACAACGCATTCGAGAGAGAGCGTAGTCGGTTCTTAGTGCCCTCCCCATCGGCTGTCGCTTGCTGTGGGACGCTCTGGATGCACTCCAGAAACTGCTCCATGCCCTTTGCTCTCAGCCAATTGCTGAAGGTCGGACATGCTCCTGGCACCAGCCTCAAGGGTCCTGATTTTTTGTTTGTATCGATGAGGTGACGCAGCTTGGTGATAGGGTATTCACGGACTTTGTCATTGTCAATAAGGACAATGATCGATATTTGCTTGCAATGCACATGCGTAACTTCCAGGCATGCTGACCATGTTGCCAGCGATTTGCTACAAGTTGTAGGGACCGTCCCATCAAAGAAACCCTACATTTTTGCGTAAGGCAGACTGCGGTCCCGAAGTTGCCAGTGCCTGTGCGCAAATTGGACGGGCAGTTGAGAGCCTTGAAAACCGCTGGCCAATAGCTGCTTGGAACGGCAACAAATGTTCACGCTTGAGGAGGTCACTCGGGCCCCTCCAGACAGGCTTCCACTTGACGTAAATTGTGTCATAACATTCTGTAGCGAAAGCATCTATCATCAACGCAGAAGCGGCCGATGTCGAAGGAACCCAGCCAGTAGGAATAAGATTCAGCTTCAACTGCCGCGGGCCTCTTTGTAAGCTCTTTGCAAGCACATGTGACACAAACACACACAGAGCACGG